ACAGGCAGTGCGCCAAAACGCACCGCTTCGTTCACTTCTGTTCACGGTCAACAACCTTCGTTCACGGTCTTAGTAACTGTGACCTCACCTTGCGTCAGTAACCTCTGGAAATGCTCTGGACGCCTTGGCTTTCACGGTCAATGGATCTTCTTCACGGTAGTGCATGACCGTGAACTTCCTGGGAAAGAGGTGAACTTGCCATTTTTCACCTCTTCTCCCGATTTTCGATCCATTTCGTCCAACTTTCGACTCCGAGGCTGGTTTCACCTGTTGAATCCTGAAACATGCTAAAACACGAGAAACCTTGCATAAAACCAACCCTTTAGGAGCGAATTTGCCACAAACACCTAAGTTAAACGGGTAAAACATGTACAATTAGGCCCGAATCACTAAATATTGTAACTTCCACCCCTATTCAAATTTTCCTGCAACGAGAGTGAAAGTCGGAAGTATATTTTTGTCTTCACAATGATCTGTTTGTTTCTCATCTATTTCTAAAAAAAATAATCACATACTAGGATTTGAACCGACGTCATTTCCCACAATGACATGAATCTTAACTAATCGAACTACATAAATTAGTTGTATCATTTTAAATAAAAAGACATACATGAAGCTAAAATTATATAATTACATAACTTTTCAATGGTTAGCTAAGGTCAATAAATCTTTGCTCGGTACTTATTGGTGTTTTGATACTTTGATTTTCATATTTAGTCATTTTAATTATACGTTGATACTTAATTTAAATTTATATTTATCTTATAAATAGATGATAACTTTAAAATCATAGGCCAAATATCATTGGTCAATATTACATATCGAATTGCAATATCAAATTTGTAGAAGCGATGTTGAATTCTTACATTAGTATTAGTTTATAGAACTGATATGAGGCAATCATATTCATATATTTCTACAAACTATATGGGGACGGGTTCTTTGAACATTTTAGCTCGGTTAACCATTAAGTTTTAAACATCTTATTAATCTAACATGCATGATTGGATCCAATAATCATTAGACGACATTTAGTTTAATAGGTTGGTTTATTTAATCTTTTTTATCTATTAAAATAAATTTGTAGAGCAATGACATGTCTACATATACACTCTACACAATATATACTACAGGCATGATAAAATTGTCATCCCATTTCAAAATTTCTACAACGAGAGTAAAAGTATGAATGACATTTTTGTCTTCACCATTATTTATCTTTATTTTGTATAGAAAATAGACAAGTATTGGGATTTGAACTAATGTATCTTCAAACACATACAAGAGTCATAACCATGATTGTCAATTCGAGTATGACTCTGTTGTCGAACCAATTCTATCTAAACTTGAGAATCTCAGCGGGTGCCGACGACCTAGTTGGTTGTCTACTCGGGCTCAGTCAAAGTCGAGTTTGTCTATCTCACCGGGAAATCCGACCGATTTAACCACCTTATTCAAGCAATGTGTCACTTCAAAATGATGTTGTTTTCAACAATTCGTATATGTAGCTACGCTGTCATATCATCCTTTTACTTATCACATAACCCTACAACATGAAACATCACAGACTATGTTCGACTATCCAATCGTCTCTTCTTCTTGCTTTAGATTTGAGAGCCTACAATACAAGACCCAACCATCTCAAAAGCCATCATAATCTTGCAATAGTAAATTTCATTTTTCTCCAACTGTACAGTCATAGAGTCAGTCGACCTCATCTCATACAAATAAGAGGCAAAAATTATTAGAGAAACATGCAATTGAGTTGAAACTTTGTGTGACTAACAGAGGCCGAATTCCTCATTTTAATTATTTTTATACTTAATCAAATTTTTATATATCTTATAAATATAGAATAACTTTAAACTCGCGGCCCAAATATCATTGGTTTGAATATTCCGTATCAAATTGCAGTATTGAATATGTAAAACTGATGTATAATTCTTAAAGCAGTATTAAGTTTTATACCTAGTATGACACAATCGTATTCATATCTTTGTGTAAAATATATGGGACTGGTTCTTTGAACATTTTAGTTCGGCTAACCGTCAAATTTTAAACCTCTTCCTATTCTGACATGATTGAATCCAACAATCATTACGAGTTTAATAAGTTGGTTCACTTTACCTTTTTCTAATCTGGTGATAAATTTGTAAGAAAAGGACATGTCTTTATCACAATATATAATACTGAAATGAGAAAATTGTTGTCTCATTTCAAATTTCCTACAACGAGACCGAAAGTAGGAATGATATCTTTGCTTCACAATTATTGTACAGAAACTACAAACTTCCAAAACCCATAAACTGTAGCTCAAACTAAAAATTAGTGCATCAAAAATCAAAGGTCACAAATCTATTTCATATGTCACTTATTTGAGGGATTTTTCTTTCTACAAAATGAAAAAAGTAATAGCCAAATCAACAGCTTTGGCTCGACGATGACTCGCTTCTTCGTGAGGGAAAGGAATACATGCGGTGTCGTCAGAGATCTAAAGAGCAAAGACAAAAAGGATACACCACGAGTTCGTGAATGGGGATGGTGAAATAGATAATCAAATCACGTGCTTGGGGCTAAATAAAAGTATAGGAGCTTAGTTAGATGGCTGATGATATAAAATTTGCAAAATTGGTACATCTACGGGAGATCTCCAGCGTTCGCTTAGGAAAAAAATAATCGAAGGGGAAGAAGAAGATATAGACTCTTTTATTAACAACTAATTGAGTGCATGGGGGTGGATAAATAATGCATTCAATTAACAACTAAAAACGGTATCGTAAACTTTGCCCGGTTTCTATTCAACTTTTGAAATCGGTTCCTTTTTTGGACTAATAAGATTATTTAAAGCTATTATCCTACTAAAATGATTTTATTTTTATTTTTCCGCTGCATTATGTAATATTTTGAGCAAAACATGTTAGTAAGTTAAATGATATATTGATTAAAATAATATAACATTCACGCTCTTTCGGCACACTAAAATTATAATTCTCGAAGAAAATAAGCTATTATGCTCCCGTTCTAGCTCCCGCTCTGTGAATTGGTAAGCTAAATCCGTCAAGTCAATTCTGTAGACAAAGAGACTACTGGCAAAACTCGCGTTCCATCACATATTGCCTTCCCTTGCAAACACCTCGACGTTCAATTACTTGTCCGTTTCTCATTAATTCCATGTCGGACACACACCGCAGCCATAGAAGTGCAACCTTCATAGCGTGATGAATATATGCTGTTGAAGTGCTTCTTAGAAGCTCGAAGGAGGATAGCGGAAAGTACCAGATAGAGAAAAACAAATGTAGATAGTCCGGGTGAGTAAGAGTATTATCCATAGATAAGATTTTATATAATTTATAAATATATGAACATTATAATGACTTTTTCATATATCCGAGCAAAAGTGGACTAGAATGATTGGACCATTAACCCTCAACCCACTCAATCGACCGGGCCAACGGACTAAACTAGTTTGACAATCTTTGATACTTTGAAATCCATATATTCTAAAAACTTTGGGTTCCAATTTTTATGATTGAGTCAAATCGATCTATATTAGTGGACTTTCAGAGAGTGGTTGAAATTCAAAAGTCGGTATTCAAGGTTCTTTCGTGACAGACAACTTTTTATGTTTAATTATTTTTGGGTTGAAGGAAGAAAAAGCGGAACATATGGAGGATGAGGTTGTGACTATTAATAATTGAGAGTTGTAGATGGAGAAGATAAGTCATAAAAAGAGGCTAAATTTAATTTGATAATACGTATATACTATATATTACGAGAGCATGTTTGATGTGAAAAATAATATAGGAATAGAGAAAAATGGAGAATAGAGTGACAATTTATGCTATTAACTCCACATGAAAAGTCAAGGAGCGTATTGGTAGAGTAGAATTTAAGGTTTTATAATGTTTGAATTTTCTTAACTATTGTACGTGCATTAGTATGGAAAAAATCCAAACGTGCATTAGTAGAATTTAAGGTTTTATAATGTTTGAATTTTCTTAACTATTGTACGTGCATTAGTATGGAAAAAATCCAAACGTACCACTATTTAAAAAAAGAATTCCAAAAATACCATCCAACCCCAAAAAATTCCAAAAATACCACCCTTTTTCAAAAACCGCCACCCCACCCTGCGGTTTACACGAAAACCGCTGGGCGGGAGCGCGGTTTACACGAAAACCGCTGGGCGGGAGCGCGGTTTTCTATGCAAACCGCGGGGCTTAGGGGCGGTTATAAAAAAATTTGGATCAAACCGCTGGGTGGGTGGCGGTTTGGCCCAAAACCGCCACAACACCCAGCGGTTTGGTCCAAATTTTTTTTTTCTCGATCAATCTCCTAACTTCGGCCGAAACTTCAAACGAACGTAACTTTGCACTCGGGTATCCGATCGTAGCGATTTTTTTTCCATTTCGCATAACTTTTCAAGATCTACAACTTTTACTGGATAAAATTTTCTAAACTGCAATGAGTTGTGGATATACTGGACCTTGGGAATAACTTTACCTTTACTTTTCACAAATCCATGTACATTTTGAAATTATGATTATGTTAAAGTTGTAGATCTTGAAAATTTATGCGGAATCAAAAAAATATTCACGACGTTCGGATTTTGGAGCACAAAGTTATGGCCGCCCAAAGTTGGGTTAATACCTTGTTATGGCCTGAACTATGACCATGTAATCAACTTTGGCTAGTGGTTTGAGAAATTAACATCCTGGCCTGAACTATGCAGCATATAGACAAAATTGGCCTGGAGCGTGGTTTGACCGTTTGTTTGGACGGTCAACACCGTTAGTCAACTGTCCAGGTCACTGCCATGTCAGCATAAAAAATTATTATTTCATTTTTCTTTTTATTTCATTTACAAAATTGAATAATTTAAAAAAAAAACTTTTGTCCCACCCATCCCCACCTTATCCCCTCACCTTCTTTCCTTTTCGATCAAACCCAAACAAACCCTATCTTCCTTCTTCTCTCCGACTTCTCCATTCTCTCCGACTTCAAATGCAGCGGAGAGCTTGATTTTTTCCTTCCCCTGTTCTTGCTCTGTTTTTCCTCCCACCGCCGATGCTACGGCTCTCAGCTTCGAAATCGACTCGGAATCGAAAACGAATCGCCGGGTCACATAGTTTCCTTTTATAAACCAGAGGGTTTCCATCAGATTGCGGCCGAAACAGGGCGGGGGCGGCGGAGAGGATCTCCGCCCTCTCCTGGCCGCCGCGGGAGACGACAGAGAAGGCCTTGAGGAAAGATATCATTGTGAATCCGTCGATCAATTTGTGTGAAGCGGCCCATCCCAGGGTGATTCCGCCGCAGGCGAAAACAGAGACCTGCATCTCCAAAACAGGGGAGTCGAATTCGAAGCTTTCTCGACGGAAGGGAGCTCGAGGGAGGAGGCAGTTGAGGTTTTTCGGTTCATGGCGTTTGAGGAAATCGGAAAGGCGGCAGCTTTCGACCTTGACATGGATGAACAGGATGCTTTCCCCGAACCTGTCGATGAGTAAATTGCCCGAATTCGTCCTGCCGGAGAAAGGGTAGTAGAAGGTCAGAGTCTCGGCAAGAGAGCGCTTCAGGTGGGCGATGAAGCGATCGATGGATTGGAGATTTGGGGTTTTAGGGTTGGCGTAGAAGAGGATGAATGGAGTGTAGGTTAAGGGGAAGAGCTGGTCGAAGAGGCAGAGGTTGTGTGGAGGGTTTGTTTTTACGGTTTCAGGGGAAGCTGGTGAAGATGATGCAGGCGGCGGCTCTCTGCTGCATTTGAAGTCGGAGAGAATGGAGGCGGCGGCTCGTCGGGGAAGAAGGAGGAAGAAGATGGAAGATAGGGTTTGTTTGGGTTTGATCGAAAAGGAAAGAAGGTGAGGGGATAAGGTGGGGATGGGTGGGCCAAAAGTTTTTGTTTTTGTTTTTTTTTTAATTATTCAATTTTGTAAATGAAATAAAAAGAAAAATGAAATTATAATTTTTTTATGTTGACATGGCAGTGACTTGGACAGTTGACTAACGGTCAACGGTGTTGACCGTCCAAACAAACGGTCAAACCACGCTCAGGCCAATTTTGTATATATGCTGCATAGTTCGGGCCAGGATGTTAATTTCTCAAACCACTGGCCAAAGTTGATTACATGGTCATAGTTCAGGCCATAACAAGGTATTAACCCCCCAAAGTTTGACGAAATAAAAAAAGTCTCGTTCGGGGTGGCAAATGACGTTTTTTCGAAACGAAGGCAGGACCCGACGGTTTGCGGCTTGCAACTCCAAATTCTAGATGACGTATATTTCCTTCCAACTCCAAATTCATATTCAATAATAAAAAGTCCACAAATTTCTTCTAAGATATGAATAAAGTACACAACAATAAACTAGGACGACTTGATAAAAAATACATATGAACTAATTATCGCTAATGTCATAATCAACAAATACCATAAAGATTACTTTGAAATAATAAATTAACTATTTGGAAAATCTCAAATTATTTAAAAATATGAAGAAATTGATCAATATAAAATAAAATTCATCCGACCAACGAGTAAGGTAATATTTTAAATATAATTATAAATTAACCAATATAAAGGATAAAACAAAACTTATTCGGCCAAGGGTCGAGTAAAAGCTAGTACCGTATTTGATATCTAACTACTTTCTAACACAAAGTAGGTACGAAACAACGTGCAAGCTCTCTTTTCATCTGGACTATATCACATGGTCCATGAAATCATACCGGACACCGTACCGGAAAGTCAGCGTAGGTATTTTATGGTAAAACCGTGGTTTAGCCGTAATTCAACCGTTCGTACCGTTAAATACCACCTACCAGTTTAGCCTCCGATATTGGTATTTCGTGGTTGAACTGTCGGTACGGTACAGTTTCATGGACCATGCTATATCAATGGTCCGACTTCCTCTTATTCCTTTTAAGCTCATCGTGGGCCACGGTAGAGAGAGGGCTAGCAGTCCGACCCAAAGAATAAAATAAACCCATCTCGATCTCTTTTTTTTTTTTTGTCATAGAAATCCTTGCGGATTAACCAGAATAGCGTGTGGAACCACAACAATTACGGCTCCTACACGGACTCAAAGACAGACCATGTACGAATAATCATATAAGACATTACTAATACCAGGATAGTGTAGGGCATTACGCACCACACAATGGGCAGCCCGATTCACTTCTCGAGGTGTGTATGCAAAATGAACTAAGGGAAGATGACCAATGAGATCAAGCCCTTCACGGTAAATGACGCTACAACGAGCATCATAATGATTGCGGGACCTCAACCTCTCCAACATTACTTGAGCATCGCCGGCAACAAGAACTGGACGATCATGTCATACCCAATGGCAAAGAAGTAACAAAGCATATCGAACCGCCAAAAGTTTCACAATAATGGCATCCAGGATCCCTGGGAGAGAACATCCAGCATCTCCATCTAGGGATGGCAATTATGCCCATACCCATGGGTATTTTACTATCCAACCCAATTGGGTTGGGTATGAAATCCAAATATATGGATATGGGTAAAGTTTGATGGGTTTGTACCCATACCCATACCCATTTACTTTGGGTTGGGTTGGGTTTATAACAAATGGATTTGGGTTTGTACCCATGCCCAAATACAAATTACAGTTTGGTACCTAAACTTAATAGATATGCATATTTAGTACCTAAATTTAATTTTTTTTGCATATAAGTCCTCAAAATATCGATGGAAAATTACGTTTTGGTATCTAAATTTTTTTGGTCTTACGATTTTGGTACCTAAAATTTTCAAGTTTTACAAATAGGTCCAATTTTAGCATGTGTAGTTAAAACACCCTCAAGTAAATGGATACCCATACCATTTAGATAATATCCATATCTAACCCAAACCCATATACAAACCCCAAACCCATACACACATCACCCAAACCCTACCCATAACAAATGGGTCTACTTGGGTTTGGGCAAAATTACCCATGGGTGGGTAAATTGCCATCCCTATCTCCATCTCCTTTATTACTCCATCTTTCTTTCTACTCTAGGTGGAGGCCCACTCCGGTCTCCCTTCCTCTTTTCCTTGTTAACCGGTTCAAGCCCATTGAGTAATTATATAAAGCCTAAGCCCGCCTTCTCCATCCGTCCACTCGATACGGCCACTTTTAGATTAAAGTGCGGCCATTGTAAAATAATTTTTGGCGTAATCGTGTAACCTTGTTTATTTTAACTTATGATTGTGGAGAAATTTTTTGCCACGTAGGACAAAGAAAGCTCCACATTTTTTCATGTCATTTATGATTTCAACATTTTAAGTTATTAATTACATTAAAATAAAACTAAATAAACATGTATACCAATCATCATGAACTAGATTTAAACCTATGACCTATGAGTTCAAATTATTATCGTTTCAAGTGCTCAACTACTAGGATAATGTATATTTGATGCTATTAATTACAACAAAACATGTATATCAATCACCTGAATTAGAGGTGACAATTCTCAATCCAATCCATCCACTTAAATATCCAACTAATCCAATCTATTTGATCCAAATGACAAAGTATGTTTTAGTACCTAATCTTTTTATATTTTATATTTTGGTACCTAAAATTTATTTTTATACAAAAAATGTCATTAGAAAATTACGTTTTGGTATCTAAAATTTATAATTATGACATTTTAGTACCTAAACTTTTTAAAATTTACATTTTGGTCCAATGTTTGGATGTTATTTGGACCCATGGATCAATCCACTAATCCATATGCTCCAATCCATGAATTCACCAATCTATTTAGTCCAATACACTTGATCTATGGATCCATCAATCACAATCCACAAATCCGTTTGCCACCTCTAACTAGAACTAATATTTAATCATGCAACCTAAGCGATCAAACTATAATAATTTGAATTGTTAACAAATATAATAAAATCTCTTTGATGCAAGTAATCACAAGATTAATACTCATGTTATAAAAATATGTACAACACATAACATTGGTTTGGTATCAAGTATTCAAAAGATGATTCTAACTAAACAATAAAAATAATATTTTTCATATGTTTAAATGAATTTTTTTACAATAAGAAAAGTAGAAGGACCAATTATGAAATTTAGAAAATGGAATATTCCAAGAATATTTTGTTAACTTTAACGAAATGCACTTAACAGTAAACTTAAGTGGTGCTAAGTGCACATATAATAGAGTTCAGTGGTACCCGATGCCCTATTCAAAGTTAAGTGGTATGTCTACCCCAATTCTCAAACTTAAGTGACACCCAAGGTATTTTATCCACCAATTATGACATTTATTCTGGAAAAAAAATATATATATATCATAACCGCTGGGTGGGGTGAGGTTTGCAACCAAATCGCTCCGGCCCCATGTGGTCAGCAAAACCGCCCCCTACCCGTGCGGCTTTCATCGAAAATCGGCCCCTCGGGTGGCGATTTTTGTCTAAACCTCTAGTTCGGGTGGCAGTTTTGGAAAATGATGCTATTTTTGGATTTTTTCAGGGTTGAATGCTATGTTTTTTTTTTTTTTGAACAATGCTATTTCTAAAAAAATCCCGGTAGAGTAGTCACCGTTTCTTTTTAGGTTTTAGCTCCAGCCTTCATGGCCGGATCGGACAAGCCGATTGGAATATAATATCAGTAATTTGTTGGAGAGAACATCTGGGTTTCCGTGGCAGTCTACAGCTACTCTACGAACGCGAATAATTGAGCTACTAAAGGTGAAATGTTATGACTGTGGTCTGTGTGGCTGCCAAAGCACTATTATGAACTAAAGAGTAAAGATGGAACTATGTGACCCTATAATTAAAAAGCATCAAAAGATATTAATGATTCGTCTGTTGCGTGGTTAGATATTAACTATTCAATATATGATGATTGATAAACTACGAGAAAACTAATCCGGAGTAACTACAAAATTAATTGCATTCATATGATGAATAACATAACGGTCATTTTTAGATATAATTATTCATAACACTAAGCCACTACTAATAAATAATTAATTAAGAAAATAAAAAGATAAGTAATAATAACCACTAAGAAAAGAAAGGGTTGTGATATGGCAAAACATGCTTTCTCATTGTTGGTTCAGAAACTTGTTGATCATCGTGTTTTACTTTTTTTTTACCGAGATCTGGGTAAATTACAAGTTTGGTCACTGAGATTACTAAAAACATTCATGTTTAGTCATTAAAAATGTTTAATTCCATTTGTGGCCACTAAAATTAGTTAAACATTACAAGTTTGGTCACTCTCTGTCCAATTCCGTTAACTTTTACTTACGTGGCAATCAAATCTTATAGTTGACCGTTAAATGTGTGATATGATAATTAAAAAATAATAAAATACATAATTTTTAAATTTTCCACATAATTTTTAAATTTTCCACATAATTTCCAACTATTAAAAAGACAAATAAAAATTAAATTTATTTATAATCTCACAAATCCTAGCCGTTCGACCCTACATCTCAAACCGCCGCCTCTCGATCTCACTTCTCGTCGCCGCGTTCCCTAGCCGGTGAAGGCTGAACGAGCTCCCTCCGATTCTCCTCCTCTCTCCTCTCTACTCGAAGTCGTTGTTCACTCTTTCTCCGACAAGATCGCCGCTGACTCTTCCAAATCTCTAGCCGTCGCCACTCACTCATTCACCCGTGAAATCTCAGTCGCCGCTCACTCCTTTGCCCACGAGATCACCCCGCCGCGCTCACTCCTTCTCTGGCGAGATC